CTTCACACAGCGTGAAGTCTCCTCCTCCTGGTGTTTGTGGAGTCCTCCCTTGCGGGGGTTCTCCTCAGAGTTCTCCAACTTGGGCGGAAACCACCCAAGCCTCTTATACGGTTAGCAAGCCAATCACTAGCCGCCACGTGTGCATAATTTAACACAAGCCAATAATGGGGCTCGAATTAAAATACAAATGGCGGGAACTCTTTGCACCGAGCATTTCTTAGATGCAAAAAGAAATGCACCATGCAAAGAAAGCTACAAATTTGGCGGGAAATTCTCCCTTGCACCAGAGTTCTCCTTTACAGCAGAAAACTCCACCGTGCAAAGAAGCTGCAATTTAGCGGGAAAATAATTCAGTGGTGCCAAAGCACACACAAAAACAAAAATCACAACTTTGGGTTGTGACAGTAAATACAGAAGTCAATGGGTGAGAGACAGGTTGGAGAGTGGGGAGGGGGAATGAATGTAGCTGGTAAATAGTGGAGAGGTACCTTGGGAGTCAGATATTAGGCAGGTTATAATGTGAAATAAATCCAATGTCTATATTTAGTCCATGATTTTTTGTAACCTGTAGGTTGAAGTGAAGTTCATAGGCTCATCTGTGAAAAGTATTTTGTAAATACCCTTTGAGGATTAGAACTGAGAGATTGGAGAGAGAGTGGTTTTCTTGAAAGAATGTACCCCCGTAGGTCTGGTTAGACTGCAGTACAAGAAACAGATCTAGGAAATGATAATGAATCACAAACTAAATGAATCAGTGAGAGACTACTGAAAAAACAGAATATTTAAGACGGGAGATGATTATTTCACTGTACTCAGCACTAGAAGGTGTCAGCTAGTCTTACATAGTTTTTGGGCACTGAACTTTCAAAAGAATGTAGAGAAATTGGACTCTTATGGAGGTTCAAGGGATTGGTTTGTTTCTACTAAAAAAACCCAGGGGATACTTTTTTCAGTACACAAAAGGGACAGTGATAAATTGTTTTCCTATCTACACTGGGAGATGGACAAGAAGAAATTAAGTTAAATTTTAAAGAAAAGTTATGGTGATGAAACACTAGAACAGACTTCACCTTTGTACGTTGTGGAATCTCCTTCACCGGAGGTTTTTGAAAAAAATGTTAGATAAACATTTGTCAGAGATACTGTAAACATATACTTGATCCTGCTATGGTGCAAGGGGTTAGATGAAATCATTGGTTGTCAGATTTATGGAGGGTTGTAGACCCCTACGATTTTGTACTAAGGATAATGGAGAGTTATACTTTCTGTAAAAACACACTATAAAGTCTAAGACCATCTAAGAGGTAGTACAGGTCTCTTGTTCCACTTCTTCTTTTCCCTTCTGCTTGCCAACTTCTTCCTCTAATGTTTCCCCTAAGGAGGAGAAGTGCATATCTCAGGTTGAGAATCACTAGATTAGCTTTCTTGGAACAACTTCCAGTCCTGCATTTCTATGAAACAAGAAATTATCCCTACTCCAGATACATCATGAGATGGGAGAGAGATTTCCTCATTAGTACTATTAAGTTTAAGAATAACTTCTTCTGCCTTCCAGTTCAAAGCTAGTGTTTCTATATTAAGCACTTACACCAAGACCAGAATTGTCTGGAATCACTTCTCATATAATATCACATTAACTTCTCACATTAACATAATAAAATAAGGTAACACACAAAATTATGTTAAAATAACACGGCCTTTTCCATTGATGGCATTTTAGAAAGCAACACCAGACAACAAGACTTGTAAACAGAAGATTTTAATATTTTCTATTTATATAAGTTTTCCTTTCCTGCATTAGATGGATAAGAAGAAACAAGTTAGCATCCTATAACCATCAGTCAGTTATGGAAGAGTTATCAAGGTTTGGTACTATTGAATCGGTGGACTTCATTGAAAGACAGACAGCCATAGTTGTATTCAGAGATATCATATCAGCATGTAAAGTAGTGAACGCCTTCCCAGCCAAACCAGGTGAAAGGATCCAGTGCGTTTGGCACGACAAATTCATGTCTGAATATAGGATATCAGACAACAGAAAGAAAAAATCCACAGGTTGCTAAAATACGGTTTTATTAAATTGTTTATATCTGAATCAATACAGTAACACCAAAAAAGGCACTGCTAGGATTCATCAAGACTATTACCAGACTTGCTTCAGAGGAGTTTCATTTTTTTGTGTTGAAAATCAGAGTTTTGCTTTTTTCTGAAAGAAGCTCACAATAGCATTCATGAATTCATCAGATTGCCATCTTTCGCAGAGGAGTTTACACTCTTGACTGTTAACTGCATGCAGTTTCTCTTTTTCCGTATTTCGTATTAACTGCTTGGACAGCGCCAATGACTAAGAGGGAGGGAAAAAAACACCTTGGTTAAAGAACACGCAGTCAAATCCTAGACATTCTCTCAGTTGGATGTTCAAAAATGCAAAATAGAGAGAAACACTCAGTATGCAGTATTAAGGCTGAATGGTATCATCATTAGCATTTTTGATTGCAGCGGGAAATTTACACAGAGGCTACTACTTCAACCGCTGGTAGAACTACTTAGGGTGTGTATAGAAGTTGGGTTTTTTTCACCATTTAAAGTGCTTTATTGCTGTGACTTAACAGAAGTGCATGGCTTTACAGCACGTTAAAATAGGTACAATGCTTTAAATTAACACTTGTTAAATAAGGTATTAAATTTGAAGCACTGTATTCTATAGCACTTTAGCAACCAACATTGCTTTAAATAGCCTCTGTACACTGGTCAAATTTCTGACCGGTGAAGAAGCCCCAGGAGGCTGTGGAGCACTACCTACCTGCCTCCTAGTCTGGAAAGTGCAGGAAGGCTCACAGCCCCCACCTCCACACACTACTTCTGTCATGTTTAACAGCACTGTAATTTTATAGTGCTATAAAAAGTGCTCTAAATTACAGCACTGTAGAACGTACATGGAGCACTTCTGTACAAACCCTCAGTTGGGTATGGTTGCAGAGAAAGGAATGTGTCAAGGGAGGGCTCAGTCTATACAGATGGGCATGTTTAATTAGGAAGCTGGTGAGCTACCTGCAGTTTCAAACATACCAACAGCTGATAATTTATGAGATTCTGGTCTCAGACGAGTTTGTTTTCTGCATGTTTGAACAATCAAGAAAGACTTGAGCTGCATACATGTTTTATTTTTAGGCTGACCATAAGGAAATCCGGGACATTCATTCAGGCAGGCAGGCAGCAGTACCTCCGAGGCACTCTGTGCCACTCTGGCTCCTGGCCAGACTGTACCCTGCACCCCTGTGTTTCCGGGACGCCCATTACAATTCTCAACAGCCGGGACCAGCCTCTGAAATTTGGGACTGTCCTGGCTAAATCAAGACTTATGGTCACCTTATTTTTCTCTTTTCAGGGATGTAAGAGTGGATACAAATTGAGAATATTCTTCCTATTTTAATTAAAGCACCACATACTGCTTCTCTTCCAGAGGTGCTGAGCACCTACAACTCTCACTGAAGTTAAAATGCTGTAAGGGGGAGGGGCAGGGGACACATCAGTCTGGACAGACACTGCATAAATATTCTTCCCCCTTAGTATTCGCTCTGTGATAGTACAAGGTACAGGGTACTGGGCTAGATGGACCTCTGGTCTGACCCAGCGTGGCATGTCTTTTGTTCTAATATGAGGAACATCCTAAATGGCAGCTTTTGTAGAGAAAATGTTAGGGCTATTTAAAAGAAAAGTCAAGGGCTGTTTAAATACGTATCTTTAATCTCTGGACAAGAAATTAGCAACCAAGGGCAATGCATGTAGCTCATTAATTTTAAATGAACTAGAGGGAAGTATATCTTCCTGATTTTAACCAAAATAAAAGAATGATGTTCCTGATAGAAGAACTATGATGGTTTAGTTCCTGAAGGGAACCATGGAGCTACCAAACCTGAGGAGATCATTTAGAATGAAGCTTATTGTTTTCATTACTCATAAAGCCAAACCCCATGGACAGGGGAAGGCTGGACTATCAAACACATATTTACCCTGTTGATAACCAGACTAGGATACTGCCTGCTTCTAAGCTGGCTATTCATGATTTTTAAACACTAACGTTTTTGGGGTAACTTGCAAAAGTTTTCAGCCTTCTCCAAACTTCCTTCTGAAAAGTTTGATCAGGGAAAACCTCAGTCACGAGTCCCCGAGCACACGCTTCCTGGGCAGTCAGCTTCCTGTTGAAAAGCAGCATCTCATTTGCCTAAAAGTAAAGAAAAAACAGGTGGTCAATTTGATAAATCACAATGTTCACAAAAACAATGGAAGCTTGAGTCTTGCCTATTAAAGGTCCAGACTCTGAAAAGGGTGTGGCCACACAGGAAAGGGTTGCCTCTCTGGAAGAACATCAATGGATGGTGGCAGAGCAATCAAAGAATTTAGTGCCTCAGATTAACTATTGCCAAAAGTATTGTTTTCTTGGTTATTCTAAATTCTCCAGAATGGGGAATAGCAGCCTATAATTTGCTGAATGTATAAACTTTGTTATCTGTTCAATGGACTACAGAGAACCTACAGCATATTTTTGCGCACACAGTCTCACTGGCAGTTATGTTAACACAAAGATAACAGAAACCAGATTTAAATATTGCCAAGATCATCATTGTGAAATAATCAAGTAAAGGATAAAGAGAGTTATGCAATTCTAAAACCCAGAAAATGAAAATTGTGTGGTATGCCAAATGTGGCCATCCCAGCTTTTTTGTTTAATTTCTTTTCTTATTCAGAGTGAAATATAGTGGGGTGGGGGGCAGATGAATAACAAAATAGCTCAGAGCTAACAGGTAGTGTGGGATAGCCTGGAAAGAAGGGAGAAGCTGCTTCACAACAACATTCTGAGGAAGAACTGAACCCCTGGCTCCCTCCACAGGGTTGGCAAGGGCTCCTCCAAATGCTGCTCCCTGACTGATAGAGAGTCAGTCAGGGAGCTGACACTAAAGGCTACTACACTAAAGTGCCCTGCTGAGGAATCCTGAGGGGCACTTTAGTGTAGTAGCCTCTTTGACAGCCTGAAATCTGCCCCATACATTGCTGAAGGAAAGATGGCGGCCCTCGTTTAAGGCTCAGAACCAAGACTGTGCAAAGAAAATACTATTACACCCATATGGTAGTATCTAGTTCTTGTTTCTCGTGTGTTGAACTCTCTACTCTGGTACCTATGGTAATATTTTGCTATTATCCTGATCGTTGAAAAAGAAAATTCTACACTGCAGAGTGCAAAGTACAATAGAGGCTGTTTTTCTGTTGACTCTTGTGGTCACCCCTCTTACTTGTACAGTATCACTTCATAAATCCAGATATAAAAAATCTGGAATTACTGAAAATTTGGCACTTTAAAAAACTACATTCCATCAGGGAGTAGCAGCAGTCGGTCCCAGAGCATTGGAGGGGGAAGCTTGCAAGCAGCAGCTCCCACTGCCATCCACCACCCCATGCCGCCGCTCTGCATGCAGCCGCTGCTCCAGAACTGCCTGCCGCTCCAGTTTCTAAAATCTGGAATTTTCACATTTCTGGCAGGTGCTCAGTTCCAAGCATGCCAGATTCATGATGTTATACTGTATCATGGTATAGCACCAATAAGTAAAATGGTATAAATGTAGATAGGTAACTGAGACACCGGTCCCTGCAGTCTTACCTTGCCTAAGCCCATCATCTTTGGAAATAGGTAAGAGGAACATCCTTCTGGGCTCTGACCAAGCTCAGAAAATGGGGTGTGAAATGTGGCCTATTGAAAAGTAAATTCATCTTTAGAATGAAGAATCCAGCATCTGAAAGCTGTCACTTTTAAACAGGACTAGAGTCTTGCCTGGAACAGAGTTGCACCGCAGATCAATCTGACCCACTTCCTTTATAGACTTCAAACAATGCAACATGGTACACAACTGCCCTTGTTAAAATAGCACAATCCCACAACAAAATGAAATTGCCTGCTTTGATGGTTCTTGTAGCCCTGATGGCTAGCACTGTTCTTGGCATAACCAGACAGAAATCACATTTAAATCCACTTATTACTAGCATAAGTTTGATCATAGTGTGGACAGAGAACCTTTTCAATTCATTAGCTTAATCAGCTCACATATGGGAGCCTCAGGGCAACGATCTAAGAGCTACTAGGGACCCAGTTCTGCTAGTGAATGTAGCCCCCAGGCTCCTGCCCAGCTGCCACTTCCCACATTGCTCCAGCTATAACACAGCCACAGTCTCCAGGTTCCCCCTTCTTCCTCCAGATGCTGCTTCCTGCCTCTGTCCCAGCGAGTTGTGTGGGGAGCTGAGAGTGAATCCAAGGCCAGACATAGGGTTGGGGATTGCAGCTATGCAATGTGTGGCTGCTGCTGCTGGTACCCAGTGGAGCAGCAGGATAGGGGGAGGTGGGAGGGGAAAGGAGCATGCAGCAGTTGCAGAAAGGGTGCCCACGCAGGCAAAAAATGCATCAGGTGTGGTGGGGGGAGTATCCACGCATTGTATAGCCCAGTGGCCCTTGCCTCACCTAGTATAGCCTGCATAGTGTGTAGATCCCCACTGGTGTGGCCCCTGAGGGTTAGAAGTCGGACAGTCATGCTATACAGTATGGAGGATTCAGCCTGAAATTGGTCTACCAAAAGCCCTTGAAAACAAAAATGCTAAGCATGTGCAGCATTTTTCCATGTAAAAGTTGCATAGTCTCCCAGAAAGCCCAAATACATATTAAAAAATCACTTTGGAGTGCAAGAAAACTGCTTTAAAATAGTAACTGATCAAAAAGGCCCAAAGCTTTTACACTGCAATATCACTCTCATTCTACTGTTTGTTCACACGACAGTCAAGATACTGAACTTTTTTTTAAATGCATATATGGGAAAAGTATGATGTAAGATGTTGTATATAACAACTAAATTAATTGCAACTTAAAGATGATTAACAGGAGAAACACTGAATTGCAGGGCTTGAGTTCTGGCAAACTCAAAATCCAGATAGAAAATGCTGAGTAATTGTATTTCTGTTTCGAAAATATGAATGGATTTGCAAATTGAGAGTCTCCCCCAGGTCTTGTCAAGTTTCTCTCATTGCAACTACAGATAGCTTAAGGCAAGTAAGGACACATTGAAAAGTGACTCATCAGTTAGGCTCCAGAATGACCTGGATAGATTGGATAAGTAGTCTGCAAACAATCAGCTGAGATTCAACAAGGGCAAGTACAAAGTCCTGCACCTGAGATGGAATAATTGCATGCACAAATGCAGACTGGGGAATGACTGGCTAGGCTGTAGTCCTGCAGAGAAAGACATGGGGTTACAGTAGACCACTAGCTGAATATGAGCCAACAGTGTGCTCTTGTTGCCAAAACCCCCCCCAACCCAACAGCATACTGGGTTGAATCAATGGCCATCACTTGCAAATCAAGGGACATGTCTCTTCCACTGTACCCAGCACTGGTGAGGTCTTGCCTAGAGTACTGTGTTTTGGGCTCCACACCTTAAGAAGGATGTGATAGTTTGGAAAGAGTCCAGTGCACAGCAACAAAAATGATTAAGGGTCTGAGAGGCAAGACTTATGAGGAAAGGCTGACAAAATTAAGAGTACTTAGTCTGGAGGAGAGAAGACTGAGGAGGGATTTGATAACACTTCAAATACCGAGGGGGGGAGGGGGGGCGTTATAAAGAGGATGGTAATGGGTTTTTCTCTGTGGCCACAGGGGATAGGGCTAGAAACAATGGCCTCAAACTTCAGCAGGGTAAATGTAGGTTAGAGAGTAGGAGGAACTTTCTGACTCTGAGGGTGGTCAAGTATTGGAACAAGCTACTAGAGAAACTGGAATCTCCATCTTCGGAAGTTTTCAAGAGCAGGTTAGATACTTGGCTGGGATGATTTAGTCAGGGGTGATCCTGCCTTGACAAGGGGGCTGCATTAGATGACTTAATGAGGTCCCTTACAGCCCTACTTTTCTATGATCCTATGTAACATAGTCGTGGGGAAAAGTTTCATACTATAAATCACAGACAAAGCAGTTTAAAGAAGAAGCAACCCACTATAAGTCACTTGTTAACCTAAAAAGTAGCGCTTTCTAAAAATACTTAAGACTCAGATTTTTATTTTAAAATAATGTGGATTTGTCTAGCTTTTCCAAGCCCAAGTAATGTGACGTGGCTCTATTAATAGAGGACCATAATGAAAATGGTAGCCATGTAAATGCAAATAAGCATTTTTTCACATTAAAGAATATTTTGTTAGCTTTGGATCTCATTCACCTCAAACAGTGCTTTCTAGTGGACCTGCATATGGCTCATCCAACCTAAATTTCCCCTGTTGCAGTTTAAGACCATTGCTCCAAGTTCTCCCCATGCAACCAGAGAGAATAGTCTGTCTCCATCCTGTTTTAAGTACCCTCCAGCTATTTCAGGACTATCAAATCTCCCTCCCCAGTCCTCTCTTGCTCAAAATCATCCTAGTTATTTCAATCTTTCCTCATAAGTCATGTTTTCCAGGCTTCTAATTATTTGTATTACCCTGTACTCTTATTCAGACTCTTTGTTGAACTCTCTTCCATCTGCTCACATCTTTCTTGAACTGTGGTGCCCAAAAGTGGACACCGTACTCTAGGTGAGGTCTCAAGAGACCCAAATAGAGCAGAAGGAGCTCTTCCCTTTATTTGCAAACGACATGTACAAATGTTAACAATTACAGTGTAATTGTCTGTACTGGTATTGCTTGATATATGCCCAGATAGTGCACAAAATAGGAAGTAACATATCACCTATGGATTTTACATCAAGCTTTAGTATGTCTTTTTTTACAGTAAGGTTAACAAGATTTCTTAAAAAGGAACCTGTGCTGAAAAGAAAAAGCTGCTACAAAAGTTTAAGTACACCTTTGATTAAAAAATAAATAAATAAAATTACTGTACTCCCATTTTATAGTGGATTTGATTTTATCTTTTCACAACAGCTTTACTTGGTCAAAACATTTCACTTCTGTTAACTGTGACAAAAAGTGTAATAGCAATTTCTTAACCCGTGCTCACTGGTCTTGATGGCTTTATTCAAAAGACTAGTCTTAGTTAGGCAAGGTTCTTTGGGTAGATGTAATATCTTTTATTAGACCAACTAAATAGTTGGGGAAAAGTTCTTTGCAAGCTTTTGGATACAAACACCCTTCGTCAGACTCTGCAGAGTCTCCCTATGCCTGATGAAGGGTGTTTGTACCCAAAAGCTTGCAAAGAACTTTTCCCCAACTATTTTGTTGGTCTAATAAAAGATATCACCTTTACCCAAAGAACCTTGCTTGCCTAATGTCCTTAGACCAACACGACTACAACCAAGAACCCAGCAGTCTTAGTTACTTTTACACATTGCTAAATAAATATAGCTACACTAGTGCCAATCCCTGAAGTAGTGGTGCTGCATGCAGACAAGCAGCTGCACATAACTGTGGTCTGTTACACTGAGACAAATTGTTCAATATAGACAGAACTGACAAATACTCGATTGAGATCACCTTGCTTACCCTGTCAGTAGCATATACAATGTCGAACAGCCCCAAGATAGTTGCAGAGACTCCAACAGCTGGACCATTCACCACTGCAATCAGTGGTTTAGGAAAATCAATAAAATGGTTGACAAAGTCTCTGGATATAGGGAGGAAAAGAACTTGATGTTATGTCACCTTTTAGACTTCTCTTGTGCCAAATTTCCTATATAGTAATTACTACACACTGTTGAAAGGAATGACATTTTTCTAGATTTTGCAGTTGTCAGCTAAGGGGAAACTGATCTCCCTGGACAACTTACCCAAGTGAGAGCTGCAGGACAAAGCCATTTTCTTGCAGTTCATCATTAGGTATCATATAGGTCACTGTCCCTCAAAAAACAGTTCTGCCTCTTCCAAGAAATATTCCTGCCAAAAGGTCAGCTCTGCTTGTCTTGTACTATATTTTCTTTCAGGGCACATCTACATGAGACCTTTACTGAGCAGCTGACTAATTAGCTGCACAGTAAACATCTCAGCACCTACACATGTACCCCGATTAGGTTGGAGAAAATAAATTTATTCCACAGCAGCGCACATATAGATACTGACCAGGCTGGTTGGGGCATGAAGGTGCTTCAGTAAGGGGGCTGCATGCCAGCTAGTCCCATGCTGAAGCACCCTTGTGCCCCAGTCAGCCCCTCCACAGCACGCTGAACCAGGGGGAGCATCCCCAGGATTGACAAGTTGACCCCTGGGGTCTCCTGTCAGCTGGGGCTGTTCCAACTCAGCTCAACATGCTGCAAAGCCGGGCACACGTGCAAATGGCAATAAACTCCAGAGTTTATTACTCTGCATTCATTGCACATGTAGACATGCCCGAAGTGTACTAAGCTCTTTAGACCATAAATTTATCCCGGTTCAGTAGACTGTGAGAAAGTATGATCCTATGGTTAAGGCAGTTGATTGGGACTAATATCTGGGTTCCCATCTTGGCCCTCGCATACATTTTCCCTGAAACCTTGGCAGGGCGTTTAAATTTTTGTAGGACTGACTAGGCCTGCCATTGCAGGTAAGCAAGCCTCTATAAGTGAAGAGACAGTTTAACAAAAGAGTGCTTTGTTACCATAGTTGTTTTGTTCAGATAAATTGGCATAAACTAAACTGACAAAAACACTTTGTCAGCCTAAATATGTCAACACTAAGACTTTGGGTATGAAGTCTTACACCAGTATAAAAGTGTAGTTAAAAATCATAACCCTAACTCAAGTTACTATACTAACAAATGTTTCGACTACTAACCTAGTATCATTTCCTTATCTGTAGCTTGTGAGTAATTCTCTCACTCTGTCTTGTCTGTATACACTGTAAACTTTGAGGCAGTGATCTCCTACTATATTTATCTACTGTGCCTGCTGTTACTGGGCCCCTTGCATGTGGGAGCTAGGACTAATGCAGGTAACAATCATCTAGCTTTTATAGTATTATATACATATATGATAAGAAAATAAATCTTACTCTAATAGTGATCCACCATATTTTGTCATCTTCTCTATTTCACTGGGTTTGATACTGATAAAGCCAGTCAGGTCGTTTCCACTACAGTAATAATCCCCACTTCCTGTGAACAACATAAATACATATCAAAAACGTCTGAGTGCAGAAAAATTAAGAAACAGGCACTTTCTTGTTTATAAAAATGTTTAATTTTGAAGCAACTACTTTATGCTATTAAGCTTACAAAAGCATGTACTTTTTTCACATTCTTAAAGGAACAGTATTTGTTTTGATATATATAACAAAATGAACTACAGAAATCAGAAGAGACAACAAAGGAAAACACAAAAAAATACTTAATGTATGGGTGACAAGGCATAAGAGTTGTCCCAAGTGCATAAGAACTGACCTGGTCTACTGTCTTTGACATCTGAGAATTGTATTTCATGGGTAGTGCAACAGGGTTTCACTCCAGGGGTTGCCATGCCTGCTCAACCCTAATCGACTTCACTCTCTTTGGGCAATCTCCCTTTCCCTTTCCCTTTGCCTGCCATGCTGTGATATAGTTACTTTTTAGGAAAAGGGAGGCTGCCCCAGGGCTCTGCAAAGCTTGGTGTCTCACTCATGAACACAGGTGTCTGTGCTCATCGCCTTAAGGGACTCTGTCCTCCCCAATATCCAGGCCCATGTCTCGCAGATGTCACACATCTTGATCAAATCGTAACTGTCCCGTGGGTTCTGTTCATCCTCTCTGTAGGTTATGGGCACTTTGGCTCCCTCAGTTTCCAGCTGTGGCCCTCCTGGCCTTTGGTCCTTCTCCTTAGACCATGACCCCGCACCTAGGCTGGGCTCTCAAGTCCTGCCAGTCTCCAGCTGTGGCCCTTCCTGAGCCTTGGCCCTACTCCTAGGCCATGGAGATGTATGGGCACCCTGGTCCTTCCTGTTCCCTGGGCCCTCTGTTCTCTCTTTGGGCCCTCTGGCCCCTACTTATTTTCCCTTAGTCCCTTCCACAAACCACCAGAGTTGCTTACCCCGGCTCAGATATTAACCTGGAGCCCTGCTGCCCAGAAGCCCCTCTTCTCCATGGCTTTCAGTGCTAGACTGCTTGGCAAGCTCCAGCTCTGGGCTTATGGCCTGACAGCCCAGCCCCTGTAGGTCATGTGACTCCTAACTGCCCCCCTGGCATACCTGCAAGCTGCTTCTCAGGCAGCCTGGCTTCTCCTAAAGTAGCAGGAGTACCAAGCCTCCTGCTACAGTAGGTTAAGTACAAACCTACTAAATAACTCAACATTATCTTGATAGGATTTCTGCTGTAATCATTGGAAAATTTTATACAAGAGGAAGGAAATATTGGAGGGAGATTCAGTTTACTTATGTATATGCTATTCTGTCATTAGTTTGCTAATAGTTATGGCTAAATATAATGCTAACAGATCCAGATAAAGTAAAATCAATTCAGTAAGATGTGGTACCTGTAATAACAGTTATGACAGAGTCGTCCTTGGCAGCTTCTTCAAGAGCTTGCATAATTTCTTTATACATCTATGTAAAATGAAGAGAAGAGAAGCTGTGATGCTGGGAAGGTATAACACGGAAATCCCACTGTGAGTATGAGAAATTTAAAAAGCCAGATTTTCAAGAACAGTCTTTAAATTCATGCCTACAGGAAGAGATGTAACTAGTGATTTTGGCATCTGGTGCAGAGGTGCTATCTAGAATCAGAGAGTAAAAGTTGGGGACAGAGGGGCTGGGGGGATGATGAGCATCAGAGAACAAAGATGTGGGGTGCTGCAGGATACTGCTGACCTATAGCATGTGCCAACACCTAGGGCGGCTGCCCTGCCCTAGTTATGCTACTATCTACAGGTAGTTTAAACACAGGTTACGTGTACCCACAGCAGTTATCACTGCTAACTTGCAAGTTATTTATGCCATAAAAAACTGTACATGGAAAAAAATAAGTTTTAGGTGCAAGACTAAAGGCAAGAATGGAGCCTCTCTGAAATGTGTACATGAACTAGATAAAATATTTTAAAACCTGACAAGTATTACAAACGTGAATTCAGATAAAGAGGCACTAAGCACAAGTGATCAAATCGGGGTCCCTGCTGTGGCTGGTTTGCAGTTGGGCAACCAAGGTAACAGCTGGCCAAGCCAACTATTAAAAGCTTCCTTTAACTATTCCACGCTACTGAAAATACCTGCAGAACTCTACCTAGACGTACATACAACATTGCTAAAGTATTACATTATATATAAATAATATAAATATACAGATCAAAATGTAAGTTCTCTAGTACAAACAAAGCTAAAAGCAAGTCTCATCTATAGGTTTAAATTAGGTACATTACAGTCTTTCTGTAGTTTACTACGCCAGGGTAGGAGAACAGGCCCTCCGATGAGAGGCTGAGAGCCATGGGACTGTTCAGCCTGGAAAATGCAGGCTCAGGGTGACCTGGTGGCTGCCTATAAGTATATAAGGGGTGTACATCAGGATCTGGGGGAATGCCTGTTCACCAGAGAGTCCCAAGGGATGACAAGGTCAAATGGTCACAAGCTTCTGCAAGACCGTTTTAGGCTGGACATAAGGAAAAACTTCTTTACTCTCCGAGCCTCGAAGGCCTGGAATACACTGCCTCCAAAGTGGTGCAAGCACCTACTCTGGACTCTTTTAAGAAACATTTGGATGCTTATCTTGCTGGGATCCTTCGACGCTATCCAACTTCCTGCCCCTGGGGCAGGGTGCTGGACTTGATGATCTTCTGAGGTCCCTTCCAGTCCTTATGTCTATGAAATCTATGAAACTTTCGGTTTAGATCAACACCTACTACTCTTGAAAATCTGACCCTTTAAAGCTGGTAATTGTTAGATGGGTGGTTTTGGCTATTTATTAATTTTAACAGCAATTCCAAAGAGAAAGAAAGGTTTGAGCTGAGAACAAGAAAGTAGCAAAAGCAAAGGAATGAAATAAAATTATTTGAAAAAGACAGAAAAAAAGAACACTCATAAGAATTAGAGGGGAGAATAAGAAGCTGGCCTGTGTCTGAAACTGCAATCTAGGCCTTGTACCAAGGATATATACCTATTAGAAGTGCAGCTGCTATGCTAATGTCTATCTACGGGCTTCAGTCAAACTTAATTCTTCTAAGTTATTTCATAGCATATATCTACTTGCTTCAATAATGCAAACTGTGGTTAAGGACAGTTTCAACTCCTATTGGTTTCAATGGGAGCTGAGGCCCCATCAGCCCCTTGTAACACTGGACCCTAAACACCCAAAGGCACCACAAAAGGTTGTTATGAAAGTTTGGTCTTTTAAAATTCTGATTCATTTACCTGACAGTAAATATTTTAACCCTGAAAGCCAGTCTTCTCACCTGTTCATTGATAGCATTTTTCTTCTCAGGACGGTTTAGCATTATCTTAGTGATGTTGTCTTTAGTGGTAAGCTCTATGGTTTCATATCCACCCTTGCGCTCAGCAGTGGTATCTTTCACTTGGCTAGAAGACTCAGAGACTAAGCTTGACACAAGTTCAACATATTTCTGTCTGGCATCTTCCTGTGGTGAAGAAAATCCCAAATTATGATTAAATAAATACTGAAGTCCAACCTGGTGAGCTATGCTTATGTTTAGTACAATAAACTGAAATAAGTTTATTTTTAGAATAAAAAGAGCTTGAAAAATCTGTTTTAAAATGGAAGCTGTCTTCATGAGGGTGATGAAGCTACAAATTAGGAGTTTACTATAGAAGCCAGTGGTAGGTTTTGTCTCTGGTTGGAAATCAGGGGCAAAAAGATGCAGTCAAGTACTGCCAGATGGAGGCTAAAGAGCCTTATAAAGGAGTCTGGTGAATACCGAGATTATCACTTTCTTTCCAGATTCAGGACAAAAGCGCACTTAAATCAGAGTATATACTCAACAACACATAAAAACAACTGAGAAGACAATTGTAACAGTTGCCTGCATTTGATCCTGCATGCACAAAACCCCCATACTGTATTGTGTGTGATTGTGTGATATAAAACCTAAGGGTAACAGGGGACCAAGAGGAGTGTGACGTGTTCCACCACCACACCACACATGGCAAGTTTTCCAGTTTGGTCTTTCTGTTCCTCCTGGCTGAGGCTGAATTAGTTTACTACCTGTATGCTGTTTGTTGCCAGCTGCTAGCACTTATTTTTCTTCCTTAAATGTTTAATGAGTGCAGCTGGCTCTGGTGTGTTTGACTCAAAGAACTCTCCAACAATCACTGCTAACAAACATCTTGTTCTGATAAAGTTGCACAATACTTTTTTTTTAAATGACCTTTCAATGCTTATTCATAGAAGGCTGGGAACTTTTACGGAAAGCAGTCTCTCTTCATCCTCAGAGCATAAAAATGACTCTCTCATTCTAAGCAATGGGAATGCAATATCCCACTGCAAGTGGTTAACTTACAAACAAGATTTACAAGTGGTGATATGAACATAAGTTCATGGGGCCCAGTGCTTATTGGTTCCTCCCAGAACCACAAACACAAATTAAAATAGGAGGGAGAAATTTAATCATTTCTGAAATTCCATGTAGATTTTAGGTCAGTTCTGATTTCAAACAAACCTGCTCACCCCCTCTGTACTTTTATTTGTCCTTCCAATAACTGGAGGTTAGGATTTAATGTTTCCCTATCAAGTGCTGATTACCCTAATAGCATCAAAAAGAACAGGGGGTTTCATTCTTTTAGTTCATCATTTGACCTTAGCAAGAGCAGGAAATACAGTGAATTTGGGTCTCTGGAGGAACAAAAACGAAGTTATCCAGTATGCTTATCAACGTAATTATGCATCAATTTGGGTCAGTTTTAAAAAAGAATGACTACCTTTTGGCCAGTGTAAATCTCATCTACAAAATTTGAACCTGTATTTTTTAAAACTAGGAAATGACTTAAAGGCACTAGTTTTAGTACATGCATCTCTTAATACTTCCCTCTTAGGCATCTACATTCAAGTTGTTAAATAGTAAGGAGCAAGTATCGCAAGCCCAAGTTGTGTCCTCAGAATGAAAAGCCTCTTTCTGGGAAATCTGGCTCTGCAATCTAGGCCCACATTCAGTCACTGATTTGGAATTGGGGGTGGATCCAGAGGGGGTGCAGTGGCATAGCTGCACACTCCTTTTAGATTGGACCACACTGCCGGAAGCTCCGGGGACTTTTTAAAGTTCCTAAAGCCGGTGAAAATACTCTCTCCTTTCCCCTTCCTGTTCAAAGAAACACTTCCTTCCGCCCCTACAGTCCCAAGGGCAAAGAAATTCCAGAGCCATTCCTGCCTGATGTGCAGGGACTGTGCTCAGCTGGGGATGGGGACAAGGGCAGCAGGGATGGACAGGGGTTTCCTTTCCCCACACTGTGACCAGGCAGGGTAGAGGGAACTCTCCAGTCACTCTGTTGCACTGTCCCCTCCCAGCCCTGCTCAGCCCGGGCTGGCTTTGGAACTTCCTTGCCCCTCACCATAGAGAATGTAGCAGGGACAGGCAAGGAAGTGGGGTGGGGGTGAGTGAAAGAGATGGGAAGGGGACAACCTCTGAGTAGGAAGGGGAAACGAGTGGGTATTTTTACCTGCTTTAGAATTTTAAAACCTCTGCAGAGGCTCCTGCAGCATGGTCTACCTGCAGTGGTAGGGCAGAAGAGGCTGGGAGCAGCGTGTGCTGCCACCCATGCAGTGGGAGTTGCTAGTTCTACATGCCTCTTTGGGAAATCCTGGATCTGCCCGTTTACCCTGCTCCCAGCCTGTTAACCCATTCTGTATAAAGCTTCTCACTTCACCTTTAAAGGTGAGTTGTGATAGATCTTGGATTTAATAGTAGAGTGTAATCAAGGTCCAAGTACTATTACTATTATTCTCCCCCAAATTTTTACCCAAAATGAAAAGACTTCTAGAAGCAAATGAGCTTGTTTAAAATTGATCCAAAATTGAGCCACAGCAATTATAGCTGCACTCTTTGCATTTCTTCAGCATTCTTTGAAGAATCACTAAAAGTGGAAGCAGTGTTCCTGTGTGAACCTATTGTGAAGACTGAAACATCTAAGAAACCTGGTAGAAATAGTTAACAAATGTTCAAGTGCAAGACTAGATGATTGTGACTAAAGTTACATGGAAGAGACAGACTCTGTCCTGAGCAGTTCAGAGGGAACATGGCAATAGCTAACCCCTGATTAAATCCAATGGACCCACGTTCAAAACTTAAGCCTACTTCATACACGACATATGACTAGCAAAATGTTATTCCCTCACCTTTGCCCTGAAGATGCCTTGTGTGGTACTTCCCTATGATATCTCCCTTTAAATCTTGAAGATCACCATCAGTAGTCTGATAGCATACACAACACTCGGTGATGAAAAAGGGTATTTGTATACCTCAGGGCAACCTACATAACCTAGTGCAGAAGTGCAGCATGCTTGAACTTTCGAGAGGCATGCCATGCTCCTCAAATCACAGAAGCAATGTTTCCAACTTTCTTCAACTAATCCCTCTGCCATCTGATACAGCACTGCACACAGAACAACACTTCCCGCCACCCCCTTTGTCATTGCTTTAACTAGTTGTTACAGCATCAGGTTTAGTGAGAAATTTTCAGTGGCTACTGGCAGTTCCTGGGGGACAGTGTTCTAGTTGTATTGCAGGGGCTGCGTGCACTTTGATCCAGCCTCAGCATTGGCAACTACATCTGTGAAATACAGTAGCACTGCTGAGAGGAGGCAATCCAGCCTAGAACATCCTGAAGCAATAATCTAAGTGTAGATGGTTTCTAGGGCTGTGCAAAGCTTTGGTAGCCACTTCAATTCGGAGATTTGGCCTGATTTGGTGACCGAATCTGAATCGAATCGAGAGACCAATTAAAAGCTCCAAATCAAATCGGAAGCCTCTGAATCAATTCAGAAAAGATTCGGCCCAATTCGGAGATTTGGCCATAGACTAAACAGGCAGCAGTCCTCACCACGCTGGACACAACTGCCAAGTCTGCTGGGGTTGGGGGAGGGAAGGGGAACGGGGAAGGGAGGGTTTGGGGCTGGGATAAGCTGCTCAGCCGGGGCAGGGGGGCACGGGACTCGGGGAAGGTATGGGATGCAGACGCAGCAGCACTAGGAGCAGCAGGGTAGGGCGCATGATGCAGGCATGGCTTGCTCCAGGTGGAAGGAGAAAGAACCTTCAGAGTATAAAATAGACAGATATCCAAAGCAGGACGTTCAGCTAGTATACAATGCGCTTCCAAGCTCTACCTGATTGGTGAATAAAGGGATGTCAAGCAATAAGTTCATAGTTCTACTTTATTTACCTTAGACAAACTGCCGAGAGAATTCCATGCATCCCATTTGGCCTTCTTGACAAAGTCAAGCATACCTGGCTTTGCAGAACTGCAGGGACCCTCAGTCGCCTGTATAAAGAAAAAACAAATTCACATGAACCTTTGAGTAAGTTCAAATTTTTTTCTCCGAAAAAAACAGGACAAAGAACATAGTCCTGGCATAATGTTATGTAATCCTGGCCCAGAGGTCTGCCTGGCCTGTTTTAAAATATTTACGTATTTAAATTTCTCAGCAACTTTTCATTATGGTAGAGACGCCAACCATTTTAATTTAAGAATAAATATGCACATACACTATTTATAAAAAAGCAATGCAAGTAAGAAAACTCTAAGAAACAAAGGGATTCAGACTTCAGAAAGGCACATTTTAGCTTGACTTTACCATGCCTTATTTAAAGCTTTTAATATTCCCCTTTCTTATATCCTTCACCTTTAAAAACATCATAGCCACTTTTTAAACAGAAGGTATCTGACCTACCTGTTTGAACAATGCATAGATCTTCAATTTTACTTCATTCCCAGGATCAGTTTTCAAAAGTTTCAGCTGACCACTTGCCTTTTCAAAGTCTTCCTGGCTGACAGACATGGTAGCTCCAGTCACATGCAGCTGAACAAAAGGCAAACAAACTGCCTGCACTGTCCTAGTTATAAGGGGAAAACATCTTGTTGGTTGCTTGGTTAAAAATCTATTCTAGAGATAAACAGGCTATTTTTCAAGAGAAATATTTCAGATTTGCATTTATTTTTGAATATTCACAGGCACACAAATCAATACCAGAGGTCACAAAGTACAAAGTAGTTATGGTGTAGTTGCTTTGATACAATGAGAAGCATTATTCACCTTGGACATTATTCACCTGTGAACTTAACTGTGTCCTAAATGTAAAGTAAAGGGCTGGATGGAATACCAAAGGCAAGCAACAGCTGGAAAGCAGCTAAAGAGGTGGAGGGGGGGACGGAACATTATATGATCAGAAGCCAGGCAAGCAGTTTAACAACAATAGCACAAGGGGCAATACTAGTTTTTAATCTTGAATCATAACTTTCCTGGTTCTATCTACACCAGGTAGATCAGGGAATATTAAAGAAAAAAATATTACTGTGTTCAATATATTAAAACCTATCAATGTCTAATAAATTTTTCCTGTTATATCACTAGTTCTCTTCAAGTCCAGGTATATAACATAATAAAGCATTGGAGTCTTAAAACCTGATTCTCCTCTGTTCTATACCTGCATGCCAAATGAGCAGGATAGTTTTTTTATTCAATAACACTATAAAGCTAAAGATCAGGCTTAAGCAAGAGAGACAAAGAGGTATGTAGCCAAGCTCCCTAGTCCACATCATGGTAAATTAATTTTATTACCAGTCTGAGAAACTTTCAAATTGCCAACAAAAAATTAAAAACCTTACTGAGGCCAAAATTACAAGACCGTGTTGGAAATGTATAGCTTTATCATTCTGGGGCAGTAACAGGGAATGCTGTTTTCACATAAAGGATCCGGTACAGTACGAACAAATTTCTTTCTGAATCAGATATTGAACGTGGTTTGGCCCAACTGCACACTAGAAGCACATCACCACTTAGTGCACTTGTCTGTGGCTGCTTAATTTCTAGGGTGCCAGACTTTTAACATGGAGAGTACGAGGGAGGAAAATTAAACGGGTTATTTGACCCAGCAGTCTTTGCTGCCCAGAGCAGGGGGTTGGACCTGATGATCTCACAAGGTCCTTTCCAGCCCTAAACTTCTGTGAATCTGTGAATCTCAAATTTCACTTGAAGTATATTCTAATCTATATTGTTAGAGATCAATACTGAAAGCATGCAGCAAGAACAAACAAGTGCAGTAACACTTGCCCAAATGTAAAGGACCTGCATTCATGGAGCTGTGAACTATTATCTCATCTTACAGAGGACTCTCTTTTCACAGGTGTAGAACTTAACATTTTTCAGAGATGTTGAATAATTATCTTGCTGTTTAATTTGCCATTTTGCTGCAGCAGGGCTCATGTACTCTAATTTTCTGCACAAAAGAGATGTAATAGGAATACAGTCCAGTAAACATTATTTTGCACTGTTCCATAAAGCCAGAGCTGAAGTAGCCCAGGATCAAGGCCAATAGAAAATGTAAATTGTCCAGTAGGGCTGCCTGGACAACACCTGAAACCTGAAAAATGGACAAGATGAACTACTGAAGTCTGGTTCCTCTTTATTTAATTGACAGAGGACCAAAGGAAAAGAAGGCTGGCTTTGAGCCTGGGGAACTGCCAAATCCACAGAGCCTGAACAATGTTGTAAGGGACAAAAGTAAGTACATTTTGTAAATGAATGTTTTTCAGTATGGACAACAGTGGTGTTTGGAAGTGAGAGAGAAGAAAATGAAGGATTTTTCAGAAGGATAAAAGAAATCTAACACACTGCTAAAGAGTACAGAGATTCTTAAAGAACAAATGACTTTCTAATCTAGACTGTGGTCTCATTGGTACTCCTGAGTACAGAAAGCTCTGACTACAGAGGAGCAGAGATTTGCAATAAAAGCTAAGACTGACAGAATATGTTGACAGATTACTCTTGGCAAATATCAAGGAACCTAATAATAATGCTTGGGAAAATAAGCAGGCATGTCTTGACTACAGTTCAATATCATCAGAACCAAAGAGTTGAGAGACAAGATAAAAAAGTAGATAAATTATGGAGTTGCTGTAGTAAATCCACTATGAATACTTCAGATAGTTTCTAAACCTTCCTTCCTTCTCTACCTTTATGAAGAGTTCCTTTCTTCTTGGATCTCACCTATAGTTTTAGCCAGACCAGTGCTGTCCAAATGGCAACCTATGGGCCGAATGAGGCACCCAAAGGTTTAAATGCACCCCTCAGGCTCCCACCTGGCTGTCACTCCCCCTTCCCATGTTGCTGCCATGCACAGACCCATTGGGATACAAGACTGGAGAACAGGTATGAGGCCCTGGCGACCCTGCAGGAGATGGAAGGGGAGGAGGGGAGGAGGAAACCCTTGGGCAGGAAGAAACACCACATTCTTCACACTCCGAACAGGTCAAGAGATCCAAGAGGACCCAGAGGAGGAGGCGATGAGTGCTCGTCATAGGCGACTCCATCCCGAGAGGTACGGAAGGGCCCATCTGTTGCCAGGACCCCTCAGCACGAGAGGTATACTGCCTCCCTGGAGCAAAGATTCAGGATGTGACGGAGGTAATCCAGGCCAGGATCAAGCCCACTGATTACTACCCCATGGTCCTAGTCCATGTGGGTACTAATGATGCGGCCAGGAGAACCCCCGATCACCTGATGGCAGACTACAGTGCTCTGGGCAGCGTGCTGAGGGAGTTCGGTGCACAGGTGGTATTCTCTTCCATCCTACCAGTGAACGGATGCAGAAGACAGCATGAGAACTGCATCCGAGAGACCAACTGGCGGCTTCGGCAGTGGTGTCTCGAGGCAGGCTTCGGCTTCCTGGACAACGACCCGCACATCACGACGAGGGACATGCTCAGTTGGGATGGGCTTCACCTGTCCCCCAAAGGTAAGCGTGTGTTTTCTTCTAGGTTGGCGGATCTCCTCC